GTGGTCGCCCCCCCAAGGAGGCGAGGATTAGCCACTCAGGCCACCGCCGGCAGTAATGCTGTGCGGAACGAAGCCAGGCATCAAAGACTGCATATTCCGATTCCATTTCTATGAAATGCTCAGAAAGGGCCGAGTTCACACACACAGCCTGCCCTGCCTGGAGCAGGAGACAGGACAGGGGCCGACTACAAAACCGGCCTGCAGGGTCTGGGAGGCAGTGGACGTATTCTAAAACTGGATTGTGGTTATGGTTGCACAACTCATTATCGAATTGTGCAACTGGCAGGTGGTGTGATGGTTAAGGGCACTGGACTCCCACATGGCCGACCATGGCTTGAGTCCCGGACGTAGTGACTTGCTTTCTCACTTTCCCTCTCTCACTCTTGTTCTTGCTCTGTCCTTCTCTGGTCAAAATTAAAATAAGTAAATAAGTTAAATAAAATAATTACTTAAAAATATTATTGGGGCCAGCAGGTGGCGTGGTGGTTTAGGCGCTGGATACTCCCATATGGCCGACCTTGGTTTAAGTCCTGGGCTTGGTGACATGTTTTCTCGCTTTCCCTCTCTCTCTGTCTCTCTCTAGATGAATTTAAAAATGAATGAATAAATAAAATTAAATAAATAACTCCCTTTTTAAAAATTATCAAATCGTGCACTTAAAATATTTTGAGTTTTGGGGCCAGCAGGTGATGTGGCAGTTGAAGCACTGGACAGATGACTGTGATTCGAGTCCCAGGCCCACTGGCTTGAAAATCACACCAGGCGCCCGTACATGCATGCCCCAAATCCAAATCCCAGGAGGAGGATGAAAGGAGGAGGAGAAAGGATTGCAGCGTGGCCATTTCCCCGATTTTATGGTATGCCATTTATGACTTAGTTAAGGGGTAAAAAAATGTAAAACAAAGGCCAGGTCCATGGAAAATATAAATTTAGGATATAACATCACGGAAGGCCGCCTCCATGGTGGGATTCCACATGGGGCTGCAGTTGAACCCCCCCCCACCCAGTCTGCCTGAACTGCACTGCCTGCGCATGCGCACGAGCGCCGAGACCTGATTGGCTCGGGGTGGGAGGACTGGATCGCGACTTGCCCAGACCCTGTAGAAGGTGTTCGTCTCTGTCTCTCACACACACGCTCACTCCTTTGCACTCACATGTGCTTGCATATGCTGTATCATAAATAGACAAAACTAAAAATGGAGTAGAATAGCCAGGGGCCAATGGGTGCCATGGTGGTTAAGGCTCTGAACTCCCACATAGCCAGACACAGTTCGAGTCCCAGACTGGCGGCTTGAAAATCACGTGAGGAATGTGTGCATGCATGCCCCAAATCCTCAGAGGAGGATGGAGGAGAGGGATTATGCCATGACCATCCCCCAGGGGTGATTTCTCATTTTCCCTCCCTGTCTCTGTCTCTCTCCAAAGAGTGCACACATCCTATGCCAAAAAACTAAAAGAAAAACTGAAAAAAAAAAAAAAAAGAACAGCCAGGAGGAAAGGTGCATGGGTTACACTATCGGGCCAAACAACTGCTCTCCGTAAATCTGCCCCTGAGAGTCCTGGCGGCCAAAGTGAGCAGAGCAGCACTGCCCGTTAGAGCGGAGTCCGCCTCCTTCCGAGGAATAGGAGATTCCCGGCCTCTACAGATGACGCCGGCGGGCGTTTCTCAGGGTGACCTCCCCCCCTCCCCCCGGCGCTAGAGAAGAAACACAGTAGAGCCCTCAGCGATGGATGCCCGTGACAAAGGCAATTCGGTTTCTACAAAGTAGCTTCTTTAGCCTTCCTTGACAAAGGCCACGAAGCTGCTGCCAGAACACAGCCCAGAGAACAGTTCCGCTGAGGCCAAGGCCATCTGACCTCGGGGGCTTTCTGAACGCCCAGCTCCATTCAGAAGTGCATCCGGAATATTTAGATCCTTTGGGAAAAATCCTCTATAAACACTATTTCTCTCTGGGGCCAGCTGGTGGATGGCGGTTAAGGCTCTGGATTCTCACGTGGCTCACCATGGTTCAAGTCCTAGACCTGGCATCTTGCTCTCTCCCTCTCTCTCTCATCAAAAAACAAAAACAAACAAAAAACACCTTTTTTGAGTTTTTTTTTCTATAGAGCGTGTGCACTCGCCAGAAAGACAGAGAAAGACAGAAAGTGAGAAATCACCCCCCGAGGGGCTGGCCCCGCCGCAATCCCTTCTCCATTCTCCTCTCGGGATCTTGGGCACGCACGCACACGCGCCCGGCGTGAATTTAAGCCACTGAGGCCAGGACTCGAACCGCAGTCGACTACATGGGAGTCCAGCAACATAGCCATTACGCTAACTGCTGGTCCCTCTCATCAAATTTTTTAAAAAATTATAATAAATAAAATTATATAATTCTTTTCAAAAAATACTATCTCTCTCAGTGGTTTCTTTTTCATTTTTTCCATGAGCATGAGAGACAGAAAAACAGAGAAACAGCACTCCCAAAAAGGTCTCTGCACTGCGACCCACCCTGCGCCCCAGCCAGCCCTGTGCACTTGGGAGCACAGGACTAGAACCTCAGCCTCGCGAGCTTTGAATTTTACCACCACACCACCTTCTGGGCCCCTCAGCGGTTTTTTTTTTTTTTTTTTGGAGAGGTTTTTGCTAACGGGGGCGAGAGGTTTTTGCTACAGGGCGCGTGCGCTCGCCAGACAGACAGAGACAGAGAGACAGAAAGCGAGAAATCACTCCCCAGGGGGGATGGCCACACCGCAATCCCTTCTCCTCCATTCTCCTCTCGGGATTTTGGGCACACATGCACACGTGCCTAGCGTTGAGTTTTAAGCCACTGGGTCTGGGACTCAAACCGCGGTCAACTATGTGGGAGTCCAGCGACATAGCCATTTCGCTAACTGCTGGTCCCCAGCAGTCTTTTTATGAGCTTGCTTCTTCTAGGAAGGGCTTGGAATACAGGTGTTCTCTGCCGCCCTAGCAGCAGAGGGCGCACCCCTCCGCGGAGCTGCACATACTGTGCAAGGTTGTGCTCCTGAAGAGCTCAGAACTCAGGAGGCAAAGTCCAAGTCACGTGACTTCAAGGTCCACCTACAAAGTGAGACTTCAGTTTTTCTGTTGTCAGCGACACTTTTTCAAATGCCCGCAGCTCCGGTTTGCATTACATGGGACCTGTCCCTCGGTGACCAAAGATGCAGAAAGTTCAGATCCTTCTGTGTCTAGGGTTGACTGACTCCTTCTCAGAAATGTCCCCCGCTTGGGACCAGCAGTTAGCATAATGGCTATGTCGCTGGACTCCCATATAGTCGACCACAGTTTGAGTCCTGAACCTGGTGGCTTAAACTCACGCCGGGCGCATGTGTGTACATGCCCAAGATCCCGAGAGGAGAATGGAGGAGAAGGGATTGCGGCGTGGCCATCCTCCCTGGGGGGTGATTTCTCACTTTCTGTCTCTCTGTCTCTCTCTGTCTTTCTGGCGAGCACACGCATCTAATAAGAAAAAACCTCTCCAAAAAAAGTAAAAAAAAAAAAAAAGAAAGAAAAGAAATGTCCCCCGCTCTAGGGACAGGGTGTGGCTGCTAGGGCAGGGGTCAGTGCTCAGGACCCCAGCTCATGGGGCATCAGGAAGGAGAAGGTACGCAAGCTTCCACAGGGGCAGACACTCCGGCTTTCGCTTAACCGCTTTGACTTTTTGGCTAGTGGGAAATGCAGGAGAGCCGGGGGCCAAGGTACCAGCACTGTCTCTGGGCACTTAGGATAGGGTCAGCCCCCCACTGCACTTACAAGCTCGGCCTCACCCTTATGGGGCCCCAGGAGGGCAGAGGACCTAGAGTCACCCCCCGGGAGTCAGGCTTCCCCGTGGGGTACTCACACACAGGGCCTCGAACAGCTGGAAGACGGCGTAAATCGGCAGGACCCGGTCCACCAGGGCAATGACGTCCCTGCAGAGGAAGTGGGAAGGACAGTCACTGGCGCTCTGCGACGGGACTCCGGCGTCCGAGACCCACTGCTCTCCCCCCATTCTGCCCCCACCGAAGTCCTTGCAGCAGTTACCCCAAGTAAGTGCGCCCGGCACTCCTAGCCCTGCCTTCCCTGTGTCTCAGGGCTAGCTCCGTTTTCACCGTTTATTTTATTCCCGATAGCACATGCATGAGAGAGAAAAGCACCTCTGGCAAGGCCTCGTGGCATCCCGATCCCCTTTCCCTGGCCCTCCAGCTCCTCGGGATCTTGGGCATGCGCACACGAGCCCGCCATGTTTTCAAGTCAACCCCGGGACTCGGACTTCAGCCAGCCACGTGGGCTGCAGACCCGCGGTTCGGTTCGCTAGGCCTGCACCACGGGCCAGACCCGCGGGCTTCACCCCAAGCTCCAGAAGAGTCCCACCGTTCAGTGCTGCCCTTTCATGGTCTCGTGTGTGGACAGACAGCGGTGAAGGCCATGCTGGGGGACAAGCCCGAAAGCTGGCTTCCTCCCAGGGATGGCAAAGTTTGGGTGTCCCCGCTGCCTTTGGACTCGGCCCCAAGTCAGGCATGTGCAAGTCTCTGGGGCCCAGCCGGAAACCACGCTGACACTCTCCAGAAGGCAGTGAAGACTGACCACCTACTCATCGCTGGTAAAAATATACCCCAGGTGGTTTCTGAGGATGCCCAGCAGGGTGCCCACGACCAGGGACGTGACAACTGGAAGAGACAAAGGAACAGTGCTGAGGACGCCAGCTCGGATCAGGGAAAGGGCCGCTCCCAACCTGTGCAGGTCACCCCAGCCCTCCACACCCAGGAGCCTGTGGCGTGGGGCCCGAAGGCCTCCATTTGAATTAGACAGCCTTTTGGTGTCTCGCAGGAAGGACCCCATATAAAATGGTCTCACTCCAGGGGTTCTCAGTCCTGTCTCTGGCCTATGAGGTGAGGCCCGGCCATCTGCCTGTGGCCAGCCCTGCCAGCAAGCCGAAGCTTGGGAACCGCTGCTGCCCACAGTCAGACGGCAGAGCCATAGCGTCAGAGGACACGGAGTGGCTCGTTTTGAGGGACGGGACGGGTGACCCTGACCCAGAGGGAAGCCCAGAGGCACAGGCTTGCAGCTGGGTAGCTGGAGGGACAGCCGTGGAGGCATGGCCTCCAGAGAGTCACTTCAACGCCCAGCTGTCGCCAGAGTCACAGGCCAGCAAGGGGGAGGAGGGGGTGGGGAAAGGGGAGCGGTGGGAGGGAGAGGTCCTTGCAGCTGAGCAAGGGCAGCTGGCAGGTCAGCAGGAGGCAGGTCCTGCCTCCAGCATGCCGGCCCTCCTCAGGCCCAGGCCCCACCTCCCTCAAACCACAGTCCCAGGTCCCCCGGGAGAGGACGCCCACCCACCTGTGCAGAGCACGCCCGAGATGGCTGAGCGCTTGGCTTGCGCTATGTCCGCAGCTCCCAGAGCCGTCCCCACTCGGACACAGACGGCCACGCTGAGCCCCATGGGAATCTGGGATGAGAAGGCACTGCCAGTGGGGCTCCCCTTCCGCCTGGGCCAAGAGCAGGGACAGAGGGAGATAGGAGGGACCCCGGGGAGGGGGTGGTGATGACGAGGCAGCAGAGTGGGGCTGGGGGGTGGAGCCACCCACTGAGCTGTCCAGTCCCACACCACTGTCCACCAGGGCCAGCAGACAGGCTGGCCTTGCAGCTAAAAGCCACGTGTTGTCGAGATCCAGCGAGTAAGCAGATTAAGGAGAATGTGGCCTTAGTATATCAGAAGAGCTCTCAGTAAGAAAAATCAATTTCAGGGGTCAAAGGATGGCCCAGCAACTGGCTCCACCTGGGAAGGCCCTGGGTTCGCGTCCCAGGGCCGCACTGCGCATGCCAGGTGGTGCTGGCACTTAGCCGTGCGCAGGCTGACTGAGGCGAGGCTGGGTTATGGCACGGCGACCCTGCTGGAGGTGCCTGCTGATTGACTCTCTTTCTCAGCAAATATAAACTTTCAGAAAAAAACGTCAGTGAAAGTTCAGAATCATGGGTCCAGCAGGTGGCATAGTGGTTGAGGCACTAGACTCCCACATGGTCGACTGTGGTTTGAGTCTTGGACCCGGCGGCTTGAAACTCACACTGGGTGCGTGTGTACATGCCCAAAATCCCAAGAGAAAAATGGAGGAGAAGGGATTGTGGTGTGGCCAGCCCCCAGAGGGGTGATTTTTTACTTTTCCTCCATCTCTGTCTCTCTCTCTTTGGCAAGCATAAGCACCCCAATGCAAAAAAAAAAAAAAATTGTGGTGTG